ATATTGTAGACTCACAATGATGTGACAAATATAGAAATGTAAGATCTTTGTCGATTCATGAAATGTAAAGACAAGTCTGACGTAATAAAAACAACTTTGGGGACAGTACAGTTATTGTAAAAGTGAGAGACAATAGATTAAAAAAAGGCAGACTGCTTTTTTTTTTTAAATCACATCTAATAATCATTGAGAAACACATGAAAGCACAGGAAGACACCAGCTAAAATTTGATTCAAAATGACAATAATAGCTGAATACTAGCCAAGGTGTAGATACAAAATAGCCAGAGATTAGCAAACATTTATAAGAAAGAATTTTACATAAAAATAGCAATAAGTAAAATAAGATTATAGGTTTAATTAAAAACACATTCTTTCAAAATAAATAAATAAAATACCTAAAATATAGCCAGGAAATATCAGCAAATAGCAAAATGTCTCCAGGAGTTGCCTGAATACCACACAAAGGTGAGGATTTAAACAGCTGATACATTTAGTTAAGGACCTCACAGGTACAGCCTTAGTCCCGGGGTCTAGGACTGGGTCTGAGATCGCAGCAGACCTTGACACAAAGTGCATTAAGTTGGCCGATCTCTCTCAAGCCATTTGATTAATTCACTCCCATTCAAACCCAAGCAAGCAAAGAGTGGAGGGACGTGACCAATGACATAATAGCCTCTGTCAAACAGCCTTGCAAAACGCCCAGACCATTTGTGGTGACAATCCTGATGCCATCAGTTCCATTACAGGCTCCCATTCAGAGCAGAAACAAACATCGCTCTGCTCTCAAAGGGGAGAAAAGTCATCTTTCTGCTGCATTTCCTTTGCACTATACATCATTGGTTTTTGGCTCAGGCACGAGGCTCTCGGCTTTACCTTCACCCTAAACATACTGTAAAATAAACGGGTTTAAAATCATACACAGTTGGTCCAATTCAGTGATTAGTAAAAGTCTGTGTTTTTTTTTTTTTCACATTTTCAATATTTTGTATTATATTTTTTTATTATTTTTAAAATGTGAGATTAAAAAGACATTTACATGTAATGGTTTATTAAAAAAAAGCAACGGTTGAATAATAATAATATATTGTTATTAGTATTTGTGAAAGGCTAGCCAACTGTAACCATCAGTGAAGGCTTAAAAAAGACTCGAAAAATAGTTACTTAGAGGTTGTATTTTTACATTTGATATTTTGAAAATAAAATATCCTATTTGGACGAAAATATACATAAACATATACATTATATTTATTTATTTATTGTTGCTTATTAGCTCGTTTGTAGCTGTTTATTGGCTCATTTTGCCATGCTAACCTATGTTGACTATTCTTTCGTATAGATTTAGCTATGTTTTAGCTGTCTTCTCGTTTACATTTGAACAGTTTGAATTACACTGTTGCTATTGGGTTTTTTTTATTTTGTTAGTGTATCATAATACTAATTTAAAACTATTTGAGGTGATTTAAAATGAAAAAAATATCTGTGAACAGCTTCCAAAAATTTGAAACAATATATGTATATACTTAGAATATTAAGTAAAACAAAACATTTATTGATATATTTTTTCATGTTTTTTTCTGCGTTATCTGTCTTCTAATATTTTAATATTCTTTCTTCTGTTTTTCTTAAATCATAAATTCCAACCAGTCCAACCACAGCCCGTCATGAAATCCTCCTGAACCTCCTCATCTATCAGTTAGACAAACAGCTAAAAGACAGAAAGGCCTGTTGATCTGGAGCTTTTCTTGTTTCTTTAACCAGTCGGAGGAAAATCAACCGTGTCCTTCTTTTCCTCACTATCACACCGGCTCTTCTTCCTCGCTTGTCCCGATTTCCCTCTCCTTCCACAGGCTGTTTGTTTAGGGCCGAATGGATGCAGAGTCATGGACACAACAGCCATTACAAACACACTTTACGGTTTATTTCTGTCAGGACACTTTTGCCACGGTCTCTAACTCAATTCTGCCCTTTTTCTATAGGGAGCTGGTGGTGCAGAAGCAACAAGGCGAGGAAAGATTAAAGGAGGAATCAAAAGTCTGAGATCAGAAAGAGAACCGAAGAAGAAAAGGAGCACAAAAAAAAAAGGCAAAAGAATGAAGAACAATTCAGCTGCCAGGCACCGATAAACACCAAGCAACCACGTAAGAGAAAAGTCAGACGTGTCCACGCCTCATGATGTCGATGATAAGGCTGACGCGATTATTATTATTATTATTATTATTATTATTGTTGTTATTATTATTATTATTATTATTATTATTATTATTGTTATTGGGCATTTCAGGCGTTATTTTTTTTTAAATCAAGGAACAACGACGGATTGATAAATAATACCATTACTATTTGCTCAAGTGAAACCCAAAGGCTCCGTGTTTGTGTCGCCGGTGAGAATGTACTGCATATTATCTTAGTATTCTTACATTTATATATGTTCACTTACAAAGACAAGTTCGGCCTCCTCATGAATGAACAGTTATTGGAACAAAACAACACAACCCTTTGTAAATAATTATTACAAAGAACAAATGTATTTCAATTGAATTCTTATTTTAATCATAAAAACATGTTTTTCAGTTATCATCTATCTATCTAACTAATACTAAAAATCAATCAACGGGACATTTTTATTTATAGTTTTTTGTATACATCATTCCCAAAATGCGATAATGGCTGTAAAGCTGCTTAGTTGTGTAATTCTATTATTATCTGTTTTATGTAAAATGTTTTTTAACGGTGTATGACGAATAAAAAGAGAAGCTTTGGTTAAGTTTGACCCATTATTATAGGGTATTCTATCGCAGCTGGACATTTGTGCGCGTGTAATAATAATAATAATAATAAAATAATAATAATAATAAAATGATTTAAAATAATAAAACTAATGGGAAAATGCTTGCGTTTGATTTCGTCGTCAAACAGTTATTGAATCCTTAAAGTAATAACATCTATAAAAATAATCAGCAAATATGACGGGCAGATTAGGAGCATATAGGAGCCATAGAAGATGGGAGAAATATAGGTTGTTTTTTGAGTTTCGATTTACAGTTTTAAAAAGCTGATTAAACAACTCTGAAAACCATGATTAAATCCAACAACAAAATGCAACATTTTCCAATATGTAGCTTTCTACACAAACCTGTATTGAGAATGTTTCAGAAATCGACTGTAAGGGTCACATCTGGTCATAGATAAATCGTTGTTGATAAAAGTTGTCGGATTTTGCGGTTAAAAAGTTAAATGTTGAAAACAATTGTTTTTAAAAAGTGACACATCAGTGCTATTTTAAGGTGCAGCAGGTGCGAGGACCATAGTGGATGTTACTCATGGATGTTTACCGGAGGCAGGTCCAAGCCTGGGGAAATAAAGGCGTCTCATCATCTCGGTCTTGGTAACGAGAGATTTAAGTTTGGCTCTAAAGATGGAAAAATGCAGCAGCGCACGTTGATTGGCTTGAAATTTCCCCATAATCTAACGAGACTGTGTGTGTTCCAACAGTCTTTACCTTCACATATTTCTGTAAAATCATTTATATTCATAACTTGGCAGCGCAGGAGACACTTGTCTCTGCAAACACCGCACCAAAGGCGTATCACCGCGGTTCCTCTCGAGCACGGACAAATTAAAAAGTCGAGCAGAAAACGTTGTCTCATTTAAATTCCTCACCTTCAGCTCTCTGGTGACTCAGTGTTAATGGTCCAAGAGGTGCTGACGCCTAAAAAATCATCAAGCTCTGTTCTCGGTTATTATTTAGTAGCTGTGCCGCTTTTGGTAAGTTCTGAACAAATGGAGCGATTTCGGGAGTAAAGAGATCAAACGTGGACGATTTCCTTTTTTTTTTTACAGCAGACAGACAAAACCATCCTTTAAAACATTAAAAATAACAAATGCATGCAGAGCAGGACAGGACGCTGCAGCCTTACCTATATTCTGTGTGCTGTGCCGAGTCCCCGCAGTTTAATTACATAGACCTACACAATTTTCCAAAACCAGACAGTGTCAAAAATATCTGCGACTATTTCTGAGAGATTCCCCTCTAACAAGTGGAAACTTAGTGTCCTCCTGCACCATTTTATACATGATGAGCCGTCAGTAATGGGATTATTAAACAAAAACGTTTCAGGCGCTGGCGTTAACCTTTTTTAATGCCTAATTAGGTTTTGCAAAGAAATAATTAGATTCTACAGTGCTTACACTGCCTATATTTTCAAATGGCATCTGCAGCAAACACATCACACACCCTGCGTCTGTCGGGCCAAAAATGTGCGCATATGTGCGCCACACCAGCACTCCGATGTAAAATTTTAAAACATGTTGGGACCAAATAAGGTGCACTTAAAGGTAAAATAATTATCCAACTCACGATATTGGGTCAATCTGCTGCAAATCATCATCTGGTCGAGTGCGCCCTCTTGTGTTGGTTAGTCTAATCACATTTAAATCAAGATTTTGAGTAAATTAGGGACATAACTAGGTTTTCGACAAGCGTGTGTTTAAAATGTAACTGTTTTTAAAAGGAAAGAAGTCGTGCTGGTTTTTATCCAGGATATAAATACTTATTTTAAGCAATGAAACCAATTTCAAACAGAAACCAGAGAGTCTTTGTGTCTGGGCGTTGACTGTGACGCATGCGCAATATAGTTTTTATTGAACGACTATTTAAGTCTTTGTAATTTTTCTTTTCTTTTTTTTTTACTTTACTCCTGCTCTATGGAACGTGGAGGTATATCATACCATATATACAAAACAAAACACAATTTGTACGAAATGTAAAATGAATGAATGAATGAATGTGTTATGTGTTCACTTCTCAGTAGACAGCTATGTTGCGTTAAAATGTTGCCTGTAGGATATGGGAGAAATACAATTAATAATAATGATTGCCTTATTGTAAAATGTAATAAAAAAATATATAATTTTTTTCAGAGTCGCAAATTCTTGATGTTCAGTATTTCCGTGTAGTACCTATAGACAGGAACCGTGTATATAAAACAAGGTCATGAGATCTCGCGAGGTTTGTTCCAAAGGGTCAGCTGATACAACGTCGGCAATTGTCAGTGTGGACTCTTAGTCAAACGCATCTCTACGGTCTGTGCTGAACATCTGTGCTTTATTTTACTACGGAAATAAACTCTCGGCGCTGTACCACTGGTGAGACACAAATATATATTTAATTATGTTATTATATTCACTAAAAAAAGCAAAAATACTGTACAAACACTTTAAAACGGCACCGAGCTGTCATGAAGTCCGGCAGCTAGGGCTAATGTTAGCACCAATGCAAGTAACGATAGTAACCGAATATTCTAGAGACTCACCTGCAGTGTTAGCTGCTTTCGGATAGCGTGCCTTTGGTTTACATGTAAATGCAATACTAAGACAAGCCGGTCTTAATTGTATTATGCGATCAACACCTAATCGAAACGATTTAAAAATAATTTTAATCAGTGTTTTATTGCAAATAATCCAAGTTAGCCATTGCTAGCTAAGCTAGCATAGCTACATCATCTTTTAAATACGTTTCTTAGAATACCTCAAGGCAAGACATTTCGATGTAATATAAACATTTACTCTAAGAGCTACAGGTACTATTCTAATGTTATTTTTTTTTAAATGTTCGCCGTGTACGATGGACTGTGGAACGTTTCTTTCTACAGTGATAATGTGTGCAGTAAGTAAATATAGGGTATTGACTATGCCTTTGGTTATGACTCACGTTATATATGTATGAGCAAAATTACTATAAGACTAGGTTAAATGGTGAAATAAATGGGGAAATACAGAAGCAGGGTTGACACTTTTTAAAATGTGATTTATCTCTTTTTTGAAAATGTCAACTTTTTTTTAAAGTTTTTTTTTTATTTTAATTTTAGTGATGATCATGTGGTTATAATATGTAATACACTTATATACACCACATTGTATGTGGTGTATATATGTCGTACAATTAGTTTGTGTTATATTTTATATAATATTTTAAGTTGCTGGATGGATGGATACCTTTATGGACAATGACAGCGTTTTAATCTATACACTGACAAGAAAAATGTACTTGATTTCACCTCAATTTATGTTACTCTCCAATGAGTTCATAGTCATTGTATTGCTGTTGAAAATAAGCCAGTTTCAAGTAGTATTTTGTGTATGATCTGTGTTACAGAAAGACTAAACATTTTCCAAAGATGGCTGATGCAAACCAGCAAAGCCCCCCACCCCAGCTGGGGCCTTTGGTGAGTTGACTTGTTACAGAATAAACAATAATCATTCTAGTGGGTTATTTTATAAAATGATTCATGTCTAGTTATGATGTTTAAAATGATTGGGTTAAACCTGGATTTTGGAACCAATTGGACTTTGGAATTTTCTTAGTTTCCCAATGGGAATCAACGAGGGATCTATCGATCTATCGATCTATCTGAGCTATCTGATCTAATGGAGCTTGTTTTACAATCTGCTGCATTTATGCTTAAAAGTGGCACCCTAATAGTAAAAATGTGAGTGGTAAATAAATGTGCCCAGTGTAAGAAATAATCATTTTATAAAGGATTAAGTTTTCTTTGCAATCAGTTTATAACAACTAATGATGTTACAAACGATGAACCATATTTGTTAAGTATATAATTTAGTGAGTTTGTGATTCTAACCAATGGGGAAAAAAGAAATAATTAAAGGAAGAGAAAATGTATTATGTTAAAAATATTTCATTCCATTATACAATGTATTCACTCATTGCTTGATTAAGATTCAACCATGTAATTTTACATCTGACTGTTGTGATCTCTTTGGTTGGATTTTGGTTGAATTGTTGGTTGGAACTTCATCTCGTCTAAATTGTAAATTATTGAATATTACTGTATAACTTTGTATGCTTCTCGACTCTCCTTGTGCCTTTTTTTAAAATTAATTTGACAAATAGTTTCATATAAGGTATCACCTTTTAATCTATAGTGACATTTTGAGAGTCTTCCATGTAAACACAAACAGTTTTGTAGTGACACATGCATCTAGTGCTTGTTTTTGCGTGTCCACAGACACAGAGTGTTCTTTGATTTACAGATTCAGTCCTGTGACCAGACTTTTGAACTCGAGGCTGTGAAATTAACTTCTAAGTTAAACCAAATTTGTTTAGCATTTGCGTGCTGACTAAGTGAACTTTTAGGTACCTTCCATGTCAGCTGTTAAAATCTTTATGTCAAACTGTACAAAAAATTCCCTTACCCAGGTCTCTTTCCCAGGCCCAGTCATCAACTTATTGATTTTGTGTGTGTGTGCTGTCAAAATTGAGTAATGTTATTTTCCTTCTGCCTGAATCCACTTGCGTCTGCACACATTTCCTTAATGTATTTTTATGTTTTTCATTCTCAGCCATTTTTAATGAGCAACAAGTTGGAAACTGCAATGTGGCTGTCAAGACTTTTTACTGTCTACTGCTCTGTAATGTTTATTCTGCCAGTTTTGGGGTAAGTGCATTTAGTGTTTTATGGTATTGTACCCACAACAATGACAATTCTGTGCTATTTTCTTTTATTTTTTTTATCAATTGCGAATGTATTTCTGAATGTATGTCCTTCAACTTGTGTTGTTTCAGTCCCTATGCTGCAGCAAACTTTTATCAGAGAGCGTTGTTAGCGAATGCCCTCACCAGTGCCCTCCGATTGCATCAAAGGCTTCCACGTTTCCAATTAAGCAGAGCATTTCTGGCTCAGGCTTTACAAGAGGACAGCTGCCACTATTTGCTGTATTCGCTCATACTGGTCAACTCATACCCTATCACGAGTATCCTTTTACTGCCAAAAAGCCTTATGTTATGTTTCTGTCTAAAATAACTTGTTAAATGAGGTTGATTCTCTCCTTGGATTGTGATCCTTAACCCAAGTTTCCAGTGAGCATTTTTCCAGTCTTCCTTTTCTCTCTGCTTCATGCGTCTACCTACACAAAGAAGGTTCTTGATGTAGGTATTATTAGAAATCCCAAAAAACAAAAGCTCAATTTTTATTTTTATTTTTTTTTTTGGTTCAAATAAGTAAATGATTCTAAATATTTTAAAGGTCCAGCTGTGTTAACTTTTTTAGTTAGGTATTCATTTATTTTGCCCTTACAACACTATCAGCAATGCTATGTAATACATTATTGAACTGATGAGTTGTTTCAGCTCATTGCTTTCATTTGTTCACCTGTTAAAAAGCCCCAGAAAACATGATAATCTAACTTTAAAAGTTTTTTAATTGTCTGAACCCTGAGTGTGGTGTTGCAGCAGCTGCTGTGGCTTTTTAATGCCATTTATTAAAATGTCTGAGGGGAAGCAGTTAGCTGTTTGTTATTCAAGACCCACGAGAAACATTATCTTCAGCCAAATGGTGTTTTAATTATACAATTAATCACAAACAATTGTAGAGGGACACAAATTAATCCAAAAACTAATAATATCAGATAATGATTGAGAGTACAGCCTATTAACTTATGTGTATGAGAATTCCATGTGAACTTTCCATGTGTTTTTATTTGTTCTTGTTTTCTTTTGCAGTCAATTGGTCCCAACAGTTTGATGTTCATCAGAAATCTTTTGGACAAACTTACAACCAATCAGCAGAACATACTCAAGTTCATTGCCTGCAATGAGATTTTTTTGATGCCAGCAACTATTTTCATGCTCTTCAGGTATTTTTTAAGATCACTTTCTTGCTTCTTTGGAAATATTTATATGTGCCTAAAATAGCCAGACAAATCAATCTACAGTGAAATTGATTTCACAACTATCTTGAAACATCTTGCAAGACCAGCTACATTCTTGGAGGATTATTCTGTATTTTAGTCACGTTTAAGATATTTTAAATGTTATAGAAATAGGACTTCGCAGTGGTGTAACTAATACTGTGGCTTTCATTTTGTTAACAGTGGTCAGGGAAGCCTGCTTCTGCCTTTCATTTACTACAGGTTCCTCACTCTCCGCTACACATCCAGGAGAAACCCATACTGTCGGTAAGATTAAATGAAAGATTATTATTACATGATGTTACATTAAGTTGTCCTGAAACAATCCAAGTTTTACAGACCATAACATACAATATAATTTTAACATACTTCACCTCCAAGTCAAATTTGAAAACCAGGTTTCTCAATTGAAATTGATGTTTTTACCACATTTTGCACAGGATTTTCATTCAATAAGTTGCTCTCAGAATTGAGTAATAAATAATCATGCCTATTCTTCATCCAGCACATTGTTCACAGAGCTGCGTATCCTTCTGGAGCACTTTATCATGAAACCTGCCTGTCCTGCTTTCTTCAGAAGGATGTGTCTCAGTAGCATTGCCTTCATCAGCCGCCTTGCACCCACCGGGGTCTGATTCCGTTTCATTAATAGGTTGGTTTTTTTTGTTGTTGTTTTGTTTTTTATATTTTATTTTCACCACATATTATGTGACTTATACGGCGATGGAAGCAGACAATGCCATCAACAGAAGGAGCTGTTTTCTGAATGTCATCTTTACAGCCTGTCCGCCAACTTCTCCAGGTATCTTGAGTGGAGTTTTGAAAAGCAGACAGTGATGCACTGAAGTTTCCCGGTGATGTTCTTTTCGCTGTGTTTCCCAATGTGACCTCATTTAACAGCGAACACTTCTCATCTTGTTACAAATACTGAGCACAGTGAACATCAACTGTGTTCTCCATTTCCAAGATGTTATTACCATTTCTTATAATCTCCTTATTTATTCGTCAAATTATTTTTTTTCCCTCTGGAGAAGAAATAACATTCTAAGTTTAGTATCTTAAATTAAATAATCATGCTGTTCTTGGATTTTGGATGCAGTTTGTTCGCAGCTGCAGTCCAGTCCAATATCTTAATGTCAATTTCATCAGGTGTTGTTATTTATCTTAACGCTTAACCTTGAATATTTCTTGTCATTGTCCACAAACTTATAATTTTAACATATAAAATCTACTTTTGTCTGATATCACGGTTTTGTATCGAGAAACAAGATATCTGCTGTATTTTATAGAAACCTTAAGGTACCACATAACTTCTTTGTGCACAATGCATGTTTCTGTCTACGAATCTGAAATCTGCCTGAAATATGACCTTGTTTCTGAGTTTATTGTAGACTTGACTTTTCCAAAAACCTATGCTATGATTTCTTTTTTTGCCAAGTGAAATGTCTTTAAATGCTCAAAGAAATGTTTTTATGATAAAAAAATAATTGATCTCTTAATTAAACTAATAAAACATTAAAGTATAGAAATAGAGCCATGTTGTTGCTTGTGCATTTAGTGGGGAAAATCAAGGTGTATTTCTTATTGATGGTATCTGCTGTTCAGTTGATATGTATTTGAGATGAAAAGTAATCTTAGTAAGGGATACTTAAATATCTTAGTTATTAAAGGTCTCTTACCCAAAAGACGATTTAGGTCTAAAACCATATAATTTCGAGAAGCAAAGAGAATACTGAAATAAATGATGATGAATGTATGTGTTCATGGAGAAAAATATATTAAAAATAAACAAAACAAATCCATTGGAAAAATACCTTTTTCACAGAATTGTCAGAAACCTCTGCACACAGTTTCATAATTAAAACTATTAGGAATCCTTGGGACAAGTTTCAACCAATCAAAGCACAGCTTCAACCATTGTCATTTACTCTCACCCAATTGTGTCGTATGTTGTTTCGAAGTACGCGTCACCGTTGGCAACGGACAACTACATTTCATCCTCATCTCTGAGGCTGCACTGTCCACTGACTAAAACGTTTAAAATGGCTTTTAATGATGTTTTACTAAAATACTCGGTCTTGGAACAATCTGAATACTAATATGTCGTATATTTTAAAAGTGTTGATTTAGTTTTCATCGTTTAAGAATAAAGCGCTTGACGTAACAACTTCTGTTAGCCCGTTAGCCTAAAGGATATCCTTAGCACGGTGAGCTAATCTCATTGCTTATGTTTAATCCCAGTCTTCTTCTGTTCTACTCACGACATGTCGGAATGACACACTCCGACTAATCTGAAGTAGAAAAAACTATCGATTCTTGTGCATTCTTAAAAAAGGAAGAGAGGTTCACAACAGAGAGAGAGAGAAGATGGAGCTAAACCTGAATCGAGTGGATTATATTCAGGTAAGAGTGAGGTCTGTAGGTAGATCACCTTTGTGTTTATCTGTTTTTATAAATCTCAAATTATTCTTTTTTTGATCATGTACCACTTATAGACAGTAAAAAATGGTTGTTACCATGTAGTTGCAAATTGTGGCTTGAAGAAGACCAGTGGTGTTATTCTGGTTTCAGAAGTCTACGAAATACATACACACATATAATGTATTTATATATAGTCGTATTGTAGTCGTAATATTATGTATAAGTATCATGTTCTTCTGAAGAAAATGATAATGAGTCACACACTGGCCAGCAAAACACGATTCTGTTCGTAAATATGGAGAACCAGGTGCTGCCTTTAGAGTATAGATGAAGAGAAACGGTGGTTTTAACTGCGTCTGTCACTCAGGTCGGCTCCCTTGGCATTCTGCAGTTAAGTGATGTTAAAAACAATGCTTCTCTACATATGCTTTAAATACTCGAATAATTAGGTGGCGTGTGGGGGGAGAAATGTATGCAACTTCCTAAAACTCTTAAACAGTACTGTAAATTATTGACATTTCTAAATACTACTTTGAAACGAGCCCTTTTTGGATCTATAAAGTGGACCTATTTATAAAAAAGCAAAATGTAAACTGTGGTCAAGTCTGTTGTTGCTGTTTCAGATTCAAAATTTAATTTTGTCCTGGGGACAGTAAAAAACAAAAAGGTTTTTTTTTTCTGGTGTCTTTTCGATTCTGTCCACCTTGTGTTGATGAAAGATTTTCTGTTTATTTCTAGGTTGGTGTGACTTCTCAGAAAACCATGAGGCTGCTTCCTGCACAGGGGAGAAAGACAACACAAAAGGTTATATTACGATAAAAGCAACACTGCAGCCATGTTTCTGTATCAATTCTGGCACTGCTGAAAGCGATGGATTTCAGGTGACTGGTTATTTACTCTACGTTGATTCTGTCCTTTTGTTTCAGGTTGCTATTGCAGATCACGATGGAATACTGACGTGTTTTGGAATAAAAAAAGGAGAAGCTGTGGTGGGTGATTTGTATAAAAATATTCTCATATTTGTCTGTATTGTAAACAGTAAAGCACATATTTTGTTGTTTTTTTTTTTTTTTTGTTCCATTATTACTGGAAGTGATTTTACGTTCCTTTCCAGCCGGTTTTCAAAACACTCCCAGGACAGAAGATCATAAGAATGGACCTTGGAGGAGCTGTTGGATCTCCACAGGAGAAGATCTTTGTTTGTTCTGGTTCTCAGGTGCGAGGATTCACGAAAAAAGGAAAACAATTCCTCACCTTTGAAGCCAACCTGACTGAGAACATAAATGCCATGTAGGAGCCACTAATTTTTAATATTTTCGACATATTTCAGGCACTGTCGAATACTGACTTTTTTACACTGTTTTCCAGGCATGTATCAGGTGCTGACTTGTTTGTTTGTGCCAGTTACATCTACAACCACTACTGTGACTGCAAGGATCAGAACTATTATCTCTCTGGAGACAAAATCAATGATATTACATGTGTTTCCTCCGAGAATCTGACTCGTCTCAGTCCAGTCCTGGCGTGCCAAGATCGTGTTCTTAGAGTCTTACAAGTGAGTATGTCTAATTGTTATTACAGAATGTGAGTTATTCTCCCTGAAAAATGAAATATCTGTATATAAATAAATCAGATGACATTTATTTAATATTTTTTCTGGTCTTATTTTGTGCAGGGTTCTGAACTTGCCTATGACATTGAAGTCCCTGGTCCTCCATCTGTCTTAGAATTGTATAACAAAACCAGAGGAAAGTTCACCTGATTTTGTTCTGTGTCTTGAAATAATACACCTAAGAACTGATTCCTAATAAATAATAAGATAAATAATAATAATAAAGATATATTTCTACAGGAGATGAACTCCTCTATGGTACTACCGATGGTAAAATTGGTCTGGTCCAGATTGGCGAACACTCTGCTTCAAGCAAATGGGAAATTGACAATGACAAAAAGAAAGGAGGTATGTTGACGTTTATGGGGTTGCAACAGATAGGAGACATACATTTTCTGGTGTCTTATTGCTTGAGATGCATTGTTTATGCTGAAATTTCAATTTCCACTGTCCTTCAGGAATTCTTTGCATTGACACCTATGACATCATTGGAGACGGAGTGAATGATGTATTGGTGGGCAGGGACGATGGGACATTAGAGGTTTATGGTTTCGACAGCTCTAATGAACCCACATTACGTTTTGATCATGTGAGTGTATGTAAGATAAGATAAGATTTTATTGATCCCACCCCAAAAAGTGGCTTGGCAGGAAGTGCTTTATGGGCATTGAAAAATATATAGATAAGCACCTTATTAAAATTTAGTTTATCTGTAAAATTTGGAAATAAGTTTAAATAGATGGCAATATATGTATAAAATGTTAAATTCCAGTTTAGTTGCTATTTTTACTTCTCCTATCTGGAGATGAAGCAGCTACACAGAGCGCCAACAAATGTATCTCTTTAATAACCATTTTCTGTCCTTAGGTCTTGTCAGAGAGTGTGACCTCCATCCAGGGTGGATGTGTGGGAAAAGAGTCTTATGATGAGGTCTTGGCAGCCACTTACACAGGTGATTGAAGAAAGTGTTGCAAACAGTTTGTGTTAAACATACAGTTAATGTTTCACTAGCAGTGGAGAATCCTGATGCATCAGCTGCTCTTACTCCTAGGATGGGTAACTGGTTTGACCACTGAGCCACAAAAGGCTGAAGCTGGTCCTGGAGACGAGGTCAGGATGAGTAAAGAGACTCAGTCCAAAGTGGAAGCACTCAGGTACACTTTAAGCTCGGCTTTTATTTCAGTGGGTTAGTGTTTATGTAATCTTTAGCAGCTTGGGCTTCTAAATTATAAAAGTACTGAACATATCCATATACTTGGTTTGGTCTTTAGGGCAGAGCTGGAACAGCTGCAGGTCAAAGTTCTGCAGGGACGAGAGCAGTACCAACAGACGTCTCAGTCCAGTACTGCCGTGTCTGCCGTGCCTACCTTCAGCATTAATGACAAGTTCACGCTCTGCCAAGATGATGCCAGTTACTGCCTCACACTGGAGGTGCAGACGGCCATTGACAATCTGCTGCTGCAGGTGTGAACACTCAAAGCTACAAGTAAATAGAATAGAATAAAATATATCACCTTTGCTAAACAAATCAGGAGGATGGCATTATTATTAGCAGCTCTAGCAAAGATGCCCTGGATAACAAAATCAATCAAAACAAGAATTTAAAAGGCTAAAACAAAAAACACACAAGTGGTAGTCCAATATTCAGAGCATACTTAAATATGCATGTCTCCTCTACAGAGTGATGTTCCCATAGACCTTCTGGATGTGGATAAAAACTCAGCTGTTGTCAGTTTCAGTGAATGTGACTCAGAGGTGAGCATCTACACCAAGTGGAGTCAAAAATAAGATGTTGCTCTGTCAGTTTTCACACTCTTATTTTGTTTGCAGCAGCCCAATGGAAACTTCCTGTTGGCCACCTACAGATGTCAGGCTAACACAACCAGACTGGAGCTTAAGGTTAAGAAATCTACTTAATAACTGCATTATAAATTCCTCCCTGATTGTGTGCTTCTTACAGAGAGAGCACTGTGGTACTCTCCAATAAACACATTAACAGGTAAGATCTATTGAAGGCCAATATGGGACCCTGCAGGCCTACGTCACCCCCAGACTGCAGCCAAAGACATGCCAGGTCCGACAATACCAGATCAAACCTTTGTCCCTGCACCAGCGCACTCACAGCATTGACCAAGACAGGTGAAGACTGCAACTTTCCTGATTCCTAAAAAAAATGTGTACATTTTTAAACCTTCAAAATGTATATTCAGTATTTTCTGCTACAGAAATATGTACATTAGCGTAACCTGTTTATTTTTCAGTTTAAAGATGGTGAAGACTGCATAAAAAGACTGTCTTTCTCTCCCTTGCTCCCTATCTCTTTCTTACCTTTACTCACAGGCCCATGAACAGACTAAGTCTTGTGGGTCAGTTCAGTTTTGCAGAGATCCACTCCTGGGTCGTTTTCTGTTTGCCTGAGGTGCCTGAGAAAACACCAGCAGGAGAGAGCATCACTTTCTATTTTCACAACACCTTCCTCGGCACACAGTTGGAAGCTAACTACTGGTAGATATTCACAATCTTTGCCCAAAAAAAAGTATATTCTCTGTTATTGCAGAAAATGAGTTTAAACCTATTTTACTTAATGATTCCGATCAAATTAAAATGTTTCTCTGGTGCATATTTTAGCAAAGGAGAGGGTCACTTCAGGTCAGACAACATCTCCACAATCTCCATACTCAGTGATGTCCTCTCCAAAGAAGCAACTAAGAGAAAGATCAACCTTAATATTTCTTACGGTAAATTTAGTGTATTTTTTTCTTTCTTTCTTTCTTTGATGTGTAGTTTAATTCATTATGTTAATATTTTGTGTTAAATGTATTTTATCTGGCAGATATAAATGATGATTCCGTAAGTCACACTCTCAGAATGATCCATCCGAAGCTGGAGTTCCAGTTGGTGTTGGCCCGAAAGGTTCAGCTCATCGATGCTCTCAAAGTAAGTGTAGACTTAAGTAAGTTGTTGCCAAATTTTCAATAATGAGCTAAATCAAGGAAAGGAAAGTGAAACTACTTGTCATTGTGACACAGCACACCCGTGACCTCTGTTTTTTACCCATCACCAAAGTGAGCAGGGGGCAGTTTAAGCGCCCAGGGAGCAGTGTGTGGGCACGGTGCCATGCTCAGATGGTAACTTGGCAGTTTGTGGATTTGAACCTGAAACCCACTGGATCCAAGACTTCCTTAACCACCAAGCCACCACTGCCCCACTGCATATCTTTTGTATATACAGTATTCATGTTTTCTAGTGGAAAATGTGAAGTGTAAAAAAGTACATTTATTTTACTGAAACACTATCAAAACCATTGCATTCTGTGCAAAACATAGACTGTGTGTAAGAAACAGCTGTATTTATCTGTATTATGTATTAAATTAGGTTAGGATTTGTAATCCATTCCACGTCCCGATTGACAGGAGCTTCAGATCCATGAGGGAAACTCTGACTTCCTCATCCCAGAGTATAGAAACATCTTGGATGAGTCTGCCAGCCTTCTGGAGGAGTACAAGAAGCAGCCAGCACACCTTGAGAGGCTCTATGGTAGGGCAAACATTATCACCATAGTTTACTACATGTATCTAATTCAGAGAGTTGTAACATCATATACTGTCAGTTGTTGTATGATGACTCATGTACTAACAAATGTATCTTTTTTTCTCTTTTATAGGAATGATCACAGACCTATTTATTGACAAATTCAAGTTTAAAGGCCAGAATGTGAAAACTAAGGTGTCGTCATTATTAGAAATACTTGACAACTATGACCTAAATTCTCTGTTAGATTTTTTCTGTGAGGCATAATATTAGATATTAGAAACAATATTTATGTAGGTGTCAAAATTCTGACATGTGCTTTTGCATTGTAAATTTTCTGTTTATCAATAGATATTTTACACAATAAAATGTACAATCCCGTAGATACTGTTTGTATCTGTTTGTTTACTAAAATATTTATTTATTCTGATTGTTAAACAGAACAATTGCCTACATTGTACATCTTTAAAGGTGTTGTTATTTTTTATAGGATACTGAATTATTTTTATACAAGCTATACACACACACATACATATTTAAAACTATGCCTTAAACTACATATGTGTGTATTTCTTTGTTGTTAAGCTAATTTCTCAAACCGGTTTTGAATTTGTAATCAAAAGAATTGAACCTCTCGCGTTTCCGTATATTTTCTGCGTCACCACCAGCGTAGCCTCTGATTGGTCTATTTCAATCCTCGCGGGCTACTTGAACTGAGCGAAAGCAATGTTTGAGGGTAAGTGACTGAGGCTAACAGCGGCTGCGTTTTCTGCAGGTTGGTGGTATAGATTCACAACGTTAAACGACTATGGCCACATGATTTTGCATCTACTACATGATGTACATATTTTAAAGACGTGGGCTGTACGTTTTTATCATTGCATTTTAGTTTTTCTGCGTCAGTTGTCTGTTTAGTTACGACTGTAAACGTTTGATTACATGAACGTTTGCCTTACTTTTCTCATGTACTCTGGCAGCTGACGAAAGCCTCAAATTTATCAACTTAAAAGTATTTTCTCGTCAGTCACAAGTAACGTAAGGGCAGCTACAGCAAATAAAACAGTACACTTTAGTATACGCGTGGATATGTCAGGATCTAACCGAGGACAGGCAAGCGCGGCCAGCGGCATCCACAACCAAGAAAATATGCTGTCAAGACTGAGGGGCTCCCTTAAGTCCCGAAATGCTGCTAATCACGGCGCTTCCAACGAGAATCAGGAAAACCTTCCACCCAAACAGGCGCCCAACAGAACGGTACTGGGTCAGCTGCAGACAAACAACCAACGTGGGAAAAGTCAGAACAAGCGCGGCTCAAAGCAGGTTGGTCCTTAAAGAGATGACAATGAGATGATGCTAACTAGCATTAGCTTATGTTTTCTATTGTCATTGTGGTGCTATTGTAGGTTTTGGAGGCAACACGTGCCCTTTGCCCACATCACCTGGCTTCTGTGGTGGTCTAATTTTATTCAGTGTTCATCCTTTTTTTTGTAAACATTTCACGTTTGATTGTTATTGAACCCGTTTCCGCTGCAATTACTGGTTTCACAGCTGTCCGCCATTTTACTGTCACCCCACTGCTGTATTAGTGCAAATAAACTAAATTGCACATAACTAAAGTTCAATATTTGGCGCTTTGTAGAATGCTGAATTTTCCCCATTGTAATACACTTAGTTTTCGTTTCACATCTACACTGTTAATTCTAGTTGAATGTAATGACATTCTCCAGCAATGTAATATCTGTTAAATTGTAGTGTTGATTAAAGATGTGTATTAAGTTTGGATTCAAATGTTTTCCCATTGGTACTGAAAATGTAGTACACTTAAATATCAATATAAACCCATCAGTTCACACTAGCTGTTTCATTAATGCATACGTTGACTCTTTAGCTCAGGACTGTCAAACTCATTATCACCAGGAGCCTACATCACCAGTACAGTTCTCCTTGAAGGGCAGATTGTAACTGTAAGACTATGTAGCTGTAACTACTCCAATGTATTTATACATGTTTCTGTATTTGATTATTTATTCAAGTCACAAGTTGGTTAATTTCAGACCAAAAAAAGCTTGCCTGAAGTGTGTTGATTGTAAATGTCAGTAGCAGTTGGAAATGCTGAAATGTTGTTCCTGGTGTAATCTATTCTGTTCTGATTTATAGGAGATATCTCAGGCCCAGCCCAGCAAAAATGATGACTTTGGCAAAAGCTGCAACGAGAAGCCTGCTGCTAAGCAGCCATCGTTTCAGATCCACGTGGATGAGCTTGATGTTCCCTGCACAAAAAAGGCCGAACAGGTGGTCAAATCAGTCAAAACGGAGGAGGTCACTGAAATGTCGCCGTTGCCTGTCGACAACACCGTGGCCCGGCTCAGGCAGCCCCTGGCTCCCATTGATGTTCCATCAGCAATGGATGTCAGCACTGGTGTGTTTAGTTTTTAAATGCCACATCAAATCACATGAGTTTTTGATTGAACTGTACTAAGTTTCTTGTGTGCTAGACTCGCCAATGGACATGTCTGTGGTTGAGGGGGAGGAGAAACCCGTCAATGTAAATGACATCCCTGAATATGCTGCTGAAATCCACGCATACCTGAGGGAACTGGAGGTGAGAAGTTCAACAGCTTTGCTCCAGTACTTTGCTTTAAATTTACATTTTCTCACCTTCATTACTCTGTCAACAGATGAGAACCAGGCCTAAAGCTGGTTACATGAAAAAACAGCCAGATATTACCAACAGCATGAGGGCAATCCTGGTGGACTGGCTGGTTGAAGTTGGAGAAGAGTACAAGCTCCAGAATGAGACTCTTTATCTGGCTGTAAACTACATTGACCGGTTCCTGTCTTCCATGTCTGTCCTGAGAGGGAAGCTTCAACTTGTGGGGACAGCTGCTATGCTGCTAGCTTCGTATGTAACTGTTTTTAGCTTGTTTGTGATCCTGTTTGGTTTTTGGGGCCACATGGTTAAATGTGTCATTCATTGCAGAAAATTTGAAGAGATCTACCCTCCAGATGTGGCTGAGTTTGTTTACATCACAGATGACACCTACACAAAGAAGCAGGTCTTAAGGATGGAGCATCTGGTGCTCAAAGTGCTCTCCTTTGATCTGGCTGCACCAACCATTAGCCAGTTTCTCACCCAGTACTTCCTCCACCACTCTGTTAGCAAACAGGTGGAGAGCTTGGCCATGGTGAGTGTGGGACATGAGCCATTTGGCTCTAATTCTTAGTGTAGCAATGACTAGTACATAGTATAACTTAATCCACAAACTTAAATGTTCTTCTCCGCAGTACCTTGGAGAGCTCAGTCTAATTGACTCAGATCCTTTCCTAAAGTACCTGCCATCACAGACTGCAGCTTCAGCCTACATCCTGGCCTTCCACACAATAAGTGGTGGTATGTGGGTAAGTCTAAACAAGACCATGTGTAGGTGTTAGAATTGAGTTTTATAGATTCTGAGGAATTTTGGGCAGTTTCCCAAACATTTAACAGCATCAGTTTTTTTTTTTTTTTTTTTTTAATTCACTTGAAATTTCAATCTGCAATGATATAATATAATGATTCAACTTATTTATTTATTTTTCTCTTCCTTCCTCCCCCAGCCATTATCCTTGGTGGAGAAAACTGGTTATTCCCTAGAAGAACTGTTGCCTTGTGTTGAAGATCTTCATCGCATATACCTCGGTGCTCCTCAGCATGCGCAGCAGTCTGTCCAGGAGAAGTACAAGGGCCCAAAGTAAGCTCATGTCATTGGTGTAGTTTAATTCCACCTTTAAAATCACTACCAATTGATGTCACTGCATTGGACATTAAACGTATATCCGTTATGTAATGCTCTACAAATTAAGTGTAAACACATGCACTAGCTTAATTAGCTAACCAGTGTGTGCTATATTTAGTTTATTCAACTAGATCTCAGTTTATTGTGACACTTGGCTTTGTTTTGCATTAACTTGAATCCCTGTTTTCTTTTTCCAGATACCATAGTGTTTCTTCTATTGAAGCTCCAGCTGAACTGAACTTGTCAGCCTCATCTGTCTAGTCTCTTTCTGTCACTCTTTTGTGTTTTTTTTTTTTTTTCTAAATGTGTACCACTTTGAATTATTAGCCTGCTCTTTTCGGAGTAGTGCCTAGATGCTTACTTTTAATGGTATTTTTATACTCAAACCCAAGGCCAGTGGCTAAAGTTGTCAGCCAATCAAGCAGTTTTATTGTTGAAATCACAGACGGAATTTAGAGGTTTTACCAGATACTTTGATCTGCATTGTCTCACCACATGGCTAAATGTATTCCTTCACAGAGACTGATTTAAGATTTTCCACCCATGGGGTTTTTTTTTTTGTTTGTTTTTTTTTAACCAGCTGTTTGCTGCTTAGCCTTCATCCAAAAGGTGACACAATAGCTGAGGTTTTTGAAGTGGGGATGTGAAGTCCTGTGACCTACATGTTTGGCCTCATGAAATGCAGATTAAAGTGTGTTTTTGTCTGTCATGGAGTCAGCAGTCTCATTATCTGTCTTGAAAGTTGACAGCCTTTCAAGGTTTCTACTGCACTGTACAATATGGCTCTTGTAAATAAAAATCGTTTAACGTAAACTCATTTTCTACATTTATCTCTATGCTCACACTGGACTCAAGGTGGCAGCAGATGGCCAAAGTTGGTTCCAAGTATGTTTTGGGAGCCGAGTTGTTGAAACGGTTGCAGAGTTTAACTTGTGTTAAAAGGATTTCTTTCTAGTTTAATGGTTAATTGTAACTTTTTTTTTTTTTTTTTTAAGAACCAAAATTAAATCTTAAACATCTCTCAAAGTGTAGGTCATAGAACTCTATTCCATACAGATATGGAAAAATGTAAAAGCTTGTATATTACAATTCTAAACAAGAACCTGATAGTTACCTTATTACCTTGTCTGTTTATACATGAGTGTTTTCTGCTCGATGGCTCTGATGTAAAGTAACTGTTAAAACTACAGGTCTTTGCATAGTTATTGTAGGTCTACAAATACAGAGCAACATGTTTCATAAGATAATCACTGTTATTGGTGCCATGGTGTAATAACAGCACAAAGAATCTAAATGCTGCATGTAAAACTCCAAAAGAATATGTTGACCAGGTTTTAACCAGACTAATTCTTCACAATTGTAATTTTGTAAAAAAGAAATCACAAAATCCAATGTTTATCTACAGTTAATATAATTGTTAGCCGTTTTGTTTTTGTTTTTTTTAACTTTTCAGGTTTTGAAAAGGGGAGATTACAACATTCCAGGAATATACCTCAATAAAAAGGTATGATCACTTTTTTTTTAACTATTTTTTTTTTTTTTTAGGACCATCAATGCACTAACTCCATCTCCATCCTATGACCTGTATATCAGATAATCCTCTTTCTTCCCCATTGTCTCTTCTGGGCCAAATGCTCCTGTTTTCTCAAGCTGCCACACCTACCTGCAAAACGGCAGGAGCCGGCGTTCCTTCCTCCTATTTGCTCATCAGCAGAAATATTTTGTTGACAAACAGTCAGGGAACAATTGACTGGCTGTAAAATGATTTAACACTAGATTTACAGTTACAGAAGAAGGTGGCCTTACATTACATTTAATATATGGCAACAGACATACATATACATACTAATGATTTCTATAATAAGACTTACATTGCCATATAAAACAAAACCATTGCTTGCTGTTTTTTGACTTCACTCTATATTAAAGAGGACCTAACAGCAGCGTTTATAAATAAAACTAAGACAATTGATTTTAAGAAATGCAAAAATATTTAAAATCAATCAGAAATTAAAAAACAACCAATAATATTGATACCAATGCTACTATAAAAAAACAGTAACCAAAATGATAATTATTGATAACAATGCAGTAACGTATTAAGGACGTAGTGTCAAATAACCAGAAAAGTGACTCAGGGACTGTGATCTCACATGTCTGCATTAGTAACTGATGGGAGAAACCTGATGTTTCCATCTGAGGCTTATGTTATGTTCCATCTTAAACTGGAGTGGAGGCAGCCAATAGCGTTGAAGGCATCTTTCTCTCTCTCTCTCGCTCTCTCCTCTCGTTCTCTGTTGATGAATTGGGAGGCTGGCTTTTGTGCAACAGTCTGACGGGAGAGGGGAGGCAGACTCCAGCTGCACACACACGCACAGACCTCCACCATTTCATCTCAGGGGGTTTGGACAGCTCAAACAACGCGCACACACACTCAAAAGGTTCACCACATCTTTGATTGGAGGGATGCACCAGGGGAGCAGAAGGGAGTTCTTTCACATAACCCCAAACTGTTGGATACTTGTCTGAACATGGCTGTCGAATCTTCACAGAACAGCGTCTTTGTCACCTTAGAGAAGATCCAAGTTTGAGAAAAGGAAAATATTCTCTTAGACTTGGAACTCAAGCTTGGATGCTGCCTAAGCTCATGCCTGCCCCCAGAAAATTTCTGGTGGCTTCCACCTCGCTGCCCCTTGCCATCAGCTGGGGCTGGAACTTGAGTTTGTACGTGGGGATACTCCTGGGACTGCTGCTGCTCATGCTGATGCTTCTCTGGGTGCTCCTCAAGCAGCTGAGGCACTCGGTGGCAAAATCCATGCTGCAGCCTGTGCGCTCCTTCAGGAAACCGTGCTTTGAGCCCAGCTTTCAGCAGGTGCTGTGAATAAGCCATGGGACAAATCTGTGTCCAGTGGGCTGCCAGGAGGACAGAGTCTTGTTGTTGCAGTGGTTGAATGTGCTTTTGGTGAAATGTGTGAAGAAAAAAAAAAGACTTTTTAGAGAAATGTTAGTAACATACTTAGTTATTTCAGAGAACTTGACTATTCTTTGATGAAATCCCTCCGAAATGCCAGCTCAGTCAAGCATGAGATAGTCATTCATCTGTTTATTAAAAGTGATTTCAATAATTGTTTTTCTCATGTTTACCTATGTCTTAATTCAATTTATACAGCTGAGCAAAACCGTGCCAATTGCCCTAGCAGGAGCAGAAGCCCAGATTAAATCTGCATCTCCATCCGTGTTGATTAAAGCGATTCATTCAGGAGGACAATATGCACTCCTCTTATCTCATTGGAGAATAGGCAAGAGAGGTATTGAGGATGTGCCGCCGATGAAAAATACAGAAGGACCTGTGCTCCACTTAGTCTGGGAACTCCTACCACCATGTCAAGGAGCAACAGAAATGAGCCCCTGGAGGCAAAAGGCTAATAACAACAACTGCAAGTACCATCAGCTCACTTCTGTGATCCTCACGTGCACAGTACATGTAATGATATTTGGCTCACTGGCAGAAAGTGTAATTTTTAGTGTGACATTGTGAATCTATGCCTTAATGTTTTAGTTTTATTCTCCTTCAGTCATCAGTCTCAGGAGTCCGGGCTGCTGTGTCTGAGGGTGAATCAATAACATCGGGACCCCGGGGGAGCGTGTTAATTAGACCCCCACAGTCGATTTTCCTGCCAGTGCATCTACATAAGGTCTGTGTTTACACACTTTTATTAAGAATTAAGACTTGTTTGTGTAAACAAAGACACCAACGGCACTAACTAAAAATTTTAAATTAAATTAAAAAAATTAATTGTGTACACTATGCTGGTCCAAGTACTTATACAGATTTGGAGGAATATTTTAGTTCATATCAAAGTATGTGTTGAACTGGACACTGATGGACCCAGCAATACCTTTCAAAAGTGTTCAAATTATTTTCATCATAGTAATTACAACACACTTTCGTCAAAGTGTAAAGTGATGAATTGTCAATTAAAATTGATTTCAATTCTACGATACAAAAAATTTCAATAATAAAATAATATTTGGCTTTTAAATGTGATTCCTATGTTATTCTTTTTATACATATATATATTTATATATACATACACATATAAAACTTGTTGCCACTGAGACACAAAAACATTTTCTAAAGCTGATGTTTGGAGTTAACATTTGTTTTAACAACTATATTTAATGACAACTGAATCCTTTCATCATTGCTTAATTTCAAAAACAATAATTTTGCTTTTGTTCGTAGGCAAGCCCTAAAACATGCAGCTAATTGGTCTTGAAAATTCCTTATTTTTGCCACAAAATTCAATGTTTCTTGATGCGTTCTAGAGAGATTGCTCATTTTAATATGATACATGTGCTGTTTGTGATGTTTTGTCCAATTCAGTCCATTGAATTGATACTTGGACAAGTACAACCTTGCACTAGCCTTTAGCCTCATGCTAATCTTCTAACCACAACAGTTCCCTCAACTCATGCATATTTCTACAAATATAAAATCTCTCAGACATGTTTAATAGTCTGTCTGGAATCTTGGAGGATGTTTATTCAGCAGGGTTTCACACCGGTCACTCCACACAAACCCACAGTGGCCTGACTTTCATCCTCCCTCCTTAATAAAGACAGAATGATGTTTTTTCATGCAGCACATACAGGTCAGAATAAAATAACCTCACGAGTAAGTCCTTGATAGGATGTGGTGAGAGAAGCTAGACGACAAGTCTGAAGTCTATGTTAAAGTTAGTTTTTTAAACTAATGCTGCCTGTTTAATAGCAATGTATTAAGAAGAAAAGAAAACTGACAAAATGTGTTAACTTTACATTTTTTATTTTTGTTTATTTTAAGTTGTTTCTTCCCAGTTTACTGTCTGTCAAAGTTACCATGTTGCTGAGGTGTGCGTGACATCTCCTCAGTCCATCCTGTGAGCTCATCGGTCCTCTGCTGTTGATTCTAAAATAAAAGGCCCGGTTCTACTAGCTTGAAATAAACTTTAAAATCTTGTTTGCCAGTAGGATCTTGGGAGTTCGATGTGGACAGTCTCTCTTTCCTGCTGTGACCTGGCTGTGCCTGGAACTGGACGTTAACACTGAGTAAGTTTGAGATAAGTAAGTAAAAGATTGACAAGTGAGGAAGAGAATTTTGAGACAACTTAAGTTGTTGAAATTCTAAAACCGAGTGGACAATCATTTTCGAGGAATCAAAAAAGTGATTTCTACAATTGTTTTCCTTATTTTCATCCAAGTCTGAATTGAATTTGTACAGCTGAGTGAAAATACTTTGTTGTTGTTATGGTCTGCACTGACATGTAAAGGAGAAAGAAACTAGTAACAGTGGTCCTGTAAATGACCAATGCAGTGAAACACCTAACGAATGTAGCTCCATTTCTTATAATAGGACAAATAGCTTTAGCTTCCTTTCCAAAACTCAACGCCTCTTGTCTTATATTCTCTATATTATTATATTAAGCAATGTTTTAAGTAGTAAAAATGCACCCAATTATCAGGCAGAAGATGAAAGTGCATTAGTGTTGCACTGCCACTGATGAAAATAAATAATACCAATCAGTAAGTAAGAAATTAGCATATTTATCTCCACTATAGTTTGACCCACAAACAGCAGTCTGTAGTGGCTAGTGCCGTAGGCTAATAGATCCTTCTATTTTCTTTGTTTTTTGGTTTGTTTTGCATAAATCTGACAAAAATGCTGAAAGTATTAGTCTAAAGGAGATGCTTTTCAAACGGCCTTAAAGCCAATATGTGGAATCGGCTCACTGACAAAAAAGGGTGGATGGTAAAGTGGCTGACCAGTTGGTGTCTGGGTGAAACTCTGTGATTGATGATCAATTTAGTTTTATGTCAGTCAGCATCTGACAATAGAGCTGTCTACGCGCCTTGCTGTCCCTCAGCTCATGAATGAAAATCCTATAGAGTTTCTGTTTCAGTCTGGGTCTGTTCCAGGCTGTGAAATAAAGAGTCAGCAGCCGATTTTTTTATTCATTAAGTAATAGATTTTGATATGTTTTTGGACTCTTTTTTTTTATCACTTTTGATGAAACCAAGATCACTCTCGACTTCTAAACTATTATGGTAATTTGCAGTTGGCAACACAGCAATATCCGAACAATTGTTGCAGGCAGCATTGACCAGAGCAGAGCACCTTTATGCATATTGATAGGGTTGTGTTTGTTAAACAGGCAACGGCTCACTAACCTGTGTCACAAGGTAGGGTTTTCACAAATTTTTAAAAGACACTGGTGTACGAGTATTTTTAATGTATACCAAATACACTCACTGACACTTTTTCCGGTCGGGTTTCAACAAATACACAATGATGTGGAAAGTGCAGTGCAGTTATATAGGTGACGCAGCTCTGTGGGAAATCTGACGTGTAGTGTGCACGTGTGGCCACAGTGAGGACAGCAGGTTATTTCCATCCCAAAGACAGGGAATAGACAATATATTAATAAAACTAAGAAAATATAAAGATAAATACAATAACCTGCTAAGTCAACAGAGGCACGATCTTTATGTGTCTCTACGCGTGGTCCTGTGATGAACCACCTGACCCTCGCCAGATGGGATTGGCTACAACCTGCAACCCCGTCAGAAAATTAAGCGGTAGAAAAAAATTAATCATTTTTGTACCAGTGCACTTTACTCTTAGATCCAAGCATTGTGTCCATAGCACCTCCTACAGGGTTGTATGGAGGTATGTCCAGTAATACCAGTATTTACCTTAAATGTATTTAAAACAAAATCCTCTTTTGTTATTGTTGACTCAAGATCTATCTATCTAGCATCTACAGATCATCACCGTTTTAGTCCACAGTCTCAGCCTGGACGCTGACAGACTATAACGTAACTCACTCATGGGGGAAAAATATCTGTAATCTGATAAGTTTATTAGCTGCTGGTTTTCTTGTTTATTAAAGGAAATTGTCTTCACAACAGTTCCAGGATGTGATGAGCCGCAGCCGAGAGCCTCTGTAACTGAATCTCCACTGAGACGGTGTCCACACTGCACAAGTGCTCCCTTTAATTAAGGTTCGTGGAACAAGGACATGGCCGATGATATGTGAGCTGCACCTCAGTGATCCGCTCCGCTGCTTCTGTTTTTTCAGACAGATGTCATGCGCTTACCGTCAGCCATAACACATCACAGGGAAGACCTCACAAGGCACAACATGAGTGACATAAAGGGCATGGGGGAGGTGGCATCTAATTAAAATGCAATTTAGTCTCCACAATCATTTGTTTCATTAACAAAATGACAACATGTCCTAAAGGCTTATTGTAGACACTGGATTAATTATTGACTTAAGTTATTAATGACATCAAATCATTTGTTGTTGAAACTGTTGACTGTACTTGTTATTGCTGTTACTATCCTTTGTCTTTAATTATATATTTTTTTTCTTTTCAGTTTAATTTGACCAAATTTTGGCTTTTTTTTTCGGTTTAGCAAATTCTCATGTTTAAGCTACATTTAAGCTATTTTGTTTTCTTTTTTCTTGGCCTAACACTTAGCTAGTTATTTTGCCTTTCCTTAATTTCCAGCAATTTGTTGGCAATGTCAATGTCACATCATGAATTTGACCTATTTAGTTAACCTTTAGCTAAAGTTTCCTGCCCAATGTCTTAACTGTCGATTGGATAGCTTTTGAGTTATTGTAGCTAATTACTGTCTAGGCTGTCCTTTAGCTATATTTTGTCTTCTTTAGCTAACGTTAAACCTTTGAGTATTTTGGTCATATAAGTTAAACTGATATCATGTTATATTTTAGCTTTTGTTGTTTCGTTTGTTTTTGAGATTCATTTTATCAACAACATATTTATCGTTAATATTTGGGTCAAGGTTCCCACTTAATCACAGAAAAGCCTGTTCTATTTTTTTAAGGACATGCAGGTAACAGGAGCGATGTGGTCACAATCTGCTGTTTGACTGACAGGGAGTGAAAGACAACACTCCATGTAGATGAGGAAGTGTGTCCTGTTAAGTTGTAACTCCGTGACTGCTGCCAGATGTCAGAGACAAGGGGGCGTGTGCAGTTGGCGGTGAAGAAAAAACCTTCTACCTGAGAGGGACGCATACACAGCAGAAGGTAAGAGGGCGGACGAATAACTGTTAGGTTTTCTCCATTCAAATTTGACATTGAGCTTTAACCTGTTTTATTCTCTTTTCAGTCTTCTACTGCTACAGTCACTTCCATCAGCGAAAGGATGGTGAGTAGAATGACGTTCTCTCAGTACCTTAAATGATTGCCAACTTCTTTAAGAATCTCAGTGTAACTTTTATTATTATTATTAATCATATCATTATTATTGTTATTTAATTTTTTTTAGTTATCTACTAAAAGCGTTACTTATACTTATGTTCAATAAAATTACTAATAGTGCTGTTACTTAAGTCAATAGACAATATTCGTAAACTCCTGGGAAACATGATGCGAGATGACCCAAAACAAAATCTCTTGCGACCCACCTGAGGGTCTGACCCAGTCTTTGGGAAACTATTTTTATTAGTTTTCTCCCATCTTTGTTTCAGCATACCTTATATATTTTTTTACTTATATATTATATATATTTTGCTTATTTAATAGCCTTTTCTGCTACATCGCAGTCTGACTTGGTTTTTTTTATTTTGTCTGTAATATAAAAAATGAAATACGGATTGGTTCTGTGACTTTACAGCAGCAGAATGAACCTGTGTCAGATTGAAGTGACTCATGAGAGATCACAGACGTTTAATGTCACAGATGAACTGTCACTGCATGACCAGTGTCACACACAGAAAACAGAAAATGCTGTCAATATGACAAGGAAGGCCTGTAAACCATCATTCCCATTACAGGTATTAAGCTGATTTTTCATTTTCTCATTTTATTTTTTTAAACTCAATTCCAGCTTTATAATGCTCATCACATCAGAGAAAGCGCTTTTATGATCAGATCTGTTCATTATTAAAACATACAAATGGCGTCATACACTCACAGTGGCGACCAAAGGCGGCTTCATTTGATATCCATGCTTTCATCTTATCTTCTCTGACTCATAAGGAGTATCCACTGATTTCCTGATGGAGATAAGTTGATTTAAAAGAGTCAAGTGACGAACGAGGGAAACGCAGTTCCATGAAAGAATGGTGGACTCATTTGTAGCATATTGTATTACCATGTGAATGGAAACTACAGGTGCGAGTGTCTATTGTGTCCCCAGTGGGTTACAATTTCATCAAAGAAAAGCCCGGAGGCAACGATCCCTGATGGCAACGGGGGCTGACTGTTGAGCTGCACAGGGAAAACAAAAACAAAGATAGAGGATAATGATGCAATAATGAATAAACAGTGACTCTGTCCTGATTGGTCTAGACATTGTCCTGATGGTTAAAAAAAGAAATCAATTTTTATGTCATATTAATTATTTATATATTTATGATTACAAGTAATTATTATCATGACAGAAGTCCGACTGGGTTTCTCCATTAGTGGCTCTACATCTGCTTGCAAATCAACACTCGTGGTTCAACTGACATGTAGGTGTCATATGAACCAGTCACAACCATGTCTATGATGTGACAAATTTTAGATGAAGGAAATAAATGTATATATAGCATCACATGGAGAGCCAGAGTTCATCCAGAAAGTTTATATATGTAATATATATGTGATGAGTGAATTTGGGTACATTCACTGAATACTATATACAATACAATATATGTAAATGTACTAAAGTATATAGATGCAGTACAGCTACATACATTTAAAGAAAT